CTCTTCTGTTGCCAGTTCAGAGTCCAGGTGGTTGAGTATCAGAGTGTTCCATCTTGTTTCCCTTTGGGGTTGCTGTAGGTGATCCAGAAGTCTGTTTTTGAGGCTTGTTTACATGTCTTCTCATTTCCACTGGCAGGCTGGGGTGGTGGTGCTTCTGGCGCCCGCGCAGCTCAGCTTCTCTGCCGCTTGGGGTGGCAGCAGGGCAGCTTCCTTCTGGGTGCTATAATAATTTTCTATAGTAAAAGTCATGTAGATATGATATCTCTTGAAAGAATCAAAACAAATAGTAGTATTTTGAGATCTCAAGTAATGGTAGATACTTGAAACCAAAGAAAGTGAAATGGAAGTTAACGGGGCTGCTGTAATTGTCCTAGTAAGCATTATTCAGCACCTGCCTCATGTTTGTCCAAAAAATACAATTTCTGCCATTCTTTTCTTTTTTGGTACTGGGGATTGAACCCAGGATCTTGTGCTTGCGAGGCAGGTGGCAGCACCACTAAGCTAAATCCCCGGTCCTTTGCCATTCTTTTTAAAAAAGATGTTAGATGATTGTGGCACCTTGTCATCAGAATACTTCTGGCTTACACCATTGGTTTTGAACCCATGTGACACCACCCCACTCTTCTGTCTGCCCTAGCATTTGGTAGTACTAGGAGATATTTCTGATTGTCACAATTTGAGGAACAGTGAAAGCTGCTGGGTAGAAGGTAGAGATGCTGCTAGACATCTTACAATAGACAGGACATTCTCCTTCAGCCAAGAATTATTTTGCCCAGGGTGTTGATAGTGCTGAAATAGAAACCCTGCTGTATTTGGATGAAAAGTATATGGGCTATTGTTCCGTGGGGTTTACTATTTGTATTTCTTTAGAGTATACTATCTATTTTTTTGGTACCGGGGATCGAACTCGGGACCTTGTGCTTGCAAGGCAGGCGGCACAAACACTGAGCTAAATCCCTGGCCCTACTATCTTTTTTTTTTTTCCTACTATCTATTTTTAATAACTACCTAAGGTACAGCAAGTCATTTGGCAAGCTTTAATTGCCAGAAAATATAGTTTTTAGTGTTTAATATTCCATTAGTAAAACATTTTATTTGGCAAATTCCTGACACATAATAACAACTGTTACTAAGGATTATTACCTGAGCCCCCAATTACATTGTATTCTTAATATGACTGGAAAGACTCAAGGAAAATTCAGGGCTCTCACCCTGAATTCATCATAAACATCCTGAGATGATCCTAATTGCTACTAGTTATTTCCAGCACTGGAAACTATCACAGTGCCCAGTACCAAGGGCATAGCAGGTGCTCAATAAATCTTCACAAAGAAGAAGGCTAGGTGTGCTGTTCACTTGGTGAACTTGCAGAACTTGTGCTTTGCAAGTTGGATAAGATGCCTGGTCATTCAAAGTGAGGTCCTTTTGTGGAAGTCCCCATTCCCTGCATCCTGTGTAGTTACTACATTAAGACATGAAAGTACCTTTCTAAGGAAATATAACTAATAGCTGGAATCCACCGACACTTGCTGTAATCAGTGGGTGTGGGGCTAACATTTTAATATTTTTCCACATTAACTGACTTTCTTTTACAGGGTTGAAAACTCAAAGTTTAATAAGTTACAAGTCAAGATTCAGATCCCCTTCTGTTTCATACCAAAGCTATACTCTTAACCACTACAAAACTTTTGGTAGTGTAATTTTGTCCTCAAGAGCCAGACTCCCTGGGTTTGACTGCTCTTCCAAATCATCTTAGCAAAGTTATTTAACCTCTCCCCAGTTTTAAAATCTGCTTTGTAATACTTTGTCACTCCCAGGTTGTTGGTTATGTTAATACATGTTTAGAACAGTACGGACACAGAGTGATTGCTTAGTTTTAGCTCTTTTAATGATTATAATTAATACACTCGTAGAAAGGTTTCCTGACTGCCTCAGGTATTATATGGTTTTGCCCTTAAAGACTTTGTAGTCTCTTTGGGAAGATAAGAAAAGTAAACGTAAAACTTGATAAACATACATACAATCAAGTACTATGGTTGCTGTAAATGCAAATAGAATTTGCTTTGAGAAATATTTGTAGCTTGAGGAAGGTTGGTGTTTTTTTTTCTCCTTTCCATTATCCCTAAGCAGCCTTTCAAGTTTTATGCCAGGAATTTTGTCAGGTTATTCTTGATTTTCTCTTGGCTTTGCTTGTGTTTGTTTTTGTACACCTTGAACTGTTTGATCCATCACATAACTTAGTAGCATTTCACATCCATGTTATCACTGTCAGCCTGTCCAGGACCGAGCAGGTTGAAGAACATACATACTCGCCATTTGTGTCTGTGGAGCGTTAGTGGGAATTGCACCATTACTTTTGTATTCCAGCATTAACTGGTCCTTTAATACAAATCTTCATTTTACCGGTTCATTGTCAACTTCCTTTTCCATTCCCTTTTGGATATTTCCAAATATTTATTCCTCTTTTTTTTTTACCTGTTAGATGTCACAATGACCTGTCATTTTATAAATAAAATAATATTTTTAGATTTCACTCCCCCTTCCTCCCTTCCTTGGCTGGCATCCTTTCGGCTTCTTGTTGCATGCAAAGACACCAGTCTTAGTTCTACCTCTAGCAATCCTTCCCTATTTCTTGCAGGGCTGGAAATCAAACCTAGGGCCTCATTCATGCTGGGAACCCCATCCTGTAACCAGTTTTCCATTTCCTTTTATACATTTCTTCTTGATTCTTCTATCACTGCAGTTTTCTCCTAGGAGATTTCATTCACCTTCATGGCTTCATTTGCCACCACTGAACCCTGCTTTCACAGCCCAGGGTCTTTTCTTGAACTCTGTCAATGGGTGCTTCCAACAGCCTTGTGAATGTTTTCAAAGCAGAGCTATCAGGGATTCTTCAGAGTAGACATTTGTCAACAGAAACTTAACACAGCTGATTCTCCCAAAACAAAATATATAAAGAATTCTTAAGGTTTTCCAGTCTTTACTCCCTGTCTTGTTATTTCTTCACTGTGACAGCCTTTTTACAAGTTTGTCTTTTCTGTGTTTTTTCTACGACTTTCTCTAGAAGTAACTAACTCAAAAAAAATTAAGTATGTAAAAAACTCAAGAACTCTCATTCTGTCTAACCTCATTCTTTAGGTTAGATTGAAAATCCAGGTTCAACAGCATGTTTTTCTCTGATGAATGGAGAAAAAATTGAATGATGATCTTGTCACAGTTCATTCACTAAGAGGTGGGTTTCTTTTACTCTTTTTTCCTTCTTTTAGTAAATGTTCTAAGTTTTTCCCCAGATATCTGAACATTTTATTACCTACTGCCACTTTTATCATCATCTCATGGAGTGATATTAAGCTTTTATACTTAGTACTTTAAATTTACCATTGTCCAGTTTTGAAGGCCTTTCACAGTTGGAGTTTACTCATCTTGTCAACCTTAGTCACCGCTGTAGTTCTCTTTAAAATCTTGCAGAGTTTATTTTAATTCCTGACCACCACTTGTTCATTGCAAGGCCTTGGGCAAGTCAGTCAAAGTGGAATTAGCAGTACTTCTTGTATTATGAGGATTAAATTAAGTACAGCATTTAAAGTGCCTAGTTCAGGGCCTTGCACATAGTTAGTACTCAAGAAGCGTTAGCTGCTGCTGTTGTGCCTGCCTTACTTTTCAGCTTAGAGCTCATTGTACCTGGATTGCGGAGTTCATTGTGCCTTGACCACACATACTACTCTCAATTTCTAGAATGCCTTATTCTCTCCTCATCCCATTTCCTGTTGAAGAAACTCTTCCCAGCCCATTGTCCTTTATCACATACCCTTTCCCTTACATTGACTTTCACTTATTTCAGTGCTTTTTATACACTGTGGATCATTGTATTTCATTACTCTTTGGACCTTGAGTTCCTCTTTCAGAGCAGAGATTAGTTCTCAGTATGTTTTTATCCTGGTATTACTTGCAACTAGCAGATTTTCCATTTAATCTCATTAATACCTACAGCTACCTTGTGTTAGGTAGATGGTATTATCTCCAGTTTCCAGATTTGAGGCCAGATAAATAATTGCCTGAGGCCCCTTACTGTGTAGGGGACAGAGATAGAGAATTGCCACATTTCATAACTTAGTGGTTATTGTATGTGGATGTCCCCCTTTGTCTTTATAATATAAATGGAATATTTAAATTCAGTGAAAGAATTTCTTGATTATCTTGGAAGGATCTTTTGTGATGTGTAAAAACGCCTAAAGAATTGAATTTCTTCTGATTCAGAATTGTTATAGTTTGGTTTGTGCTGAGCTTGCTTTCTTTATACTATAGTATTACTTAGTGAAATAATTGGATGAATAAATATATTTAAGATACTGAACATTTTATAGAATATTTGCTTAATAAATATCTAGTTTATACTTGAAAAGCCTTAATAGTTTTCTAAAAGTTTAATCCAGTTTTTCACTAATTTCAATTAGACTTTATTAAATTTTGTGCATTTAGTTAAAGTCTTTCCGATAACTATGTTTGTATATAAATGATAGGCCTTTTCTTAGTCCTTAAATAGGATTGTTGTTTAAGTTCATTTAATAACAGATTAGGATGATTTATGTTTTACCATGGCTTTTGTCCAATGAAAAACATTGATTCAAATAGTTGGGTGGGGGGAAGGGGAAGGAACAAGATTAAGTTACAAAAAAAATTTCAAGTCATATTAGCAGTGTAAATGTTGATTGAAGTTATTCGCGAAGTGTAATTGTGGTTTGAGTGACGTGATAGATTGTAAAGAATAAAGTTTCTTCTTTAAAAGAACAAAATACAGAGTTGAAGATAGAGAGTATTTATTGTCCCATTGTATACTATACTTTAAACTTAATTCATGGATTTGTTTTCTTACATTGTTTTTGTCTTTTAAGTTTGTGTGTTTAAAAATATAAGCATTCCTTTCATTACAGAGCATAACAAAGAAAAAGGTTTCATCAAAAACTTTACCCCATAATTGTAATATTTATATTTGATTTTAGGGAAGCTATGCGAAATTATTTAAAAGAGCGAGGGGATCAAACAGTACTCATTCTTCATGCAAAAGTTGCACAGAAGTCATATGGAAATGAAAAAAGGTAAGATTACTGATTTTATAATGTTGGATAGTTAATCATAGTTATCACATGAATTTCCAAATAATGTATTAGTATTTATGTCCAAGGATGGTATCTATTACCCAGTTAATTTGCCTCATACAATATGGAAAAAAAAGAGAATTTATCTCTTGAAGGAGAGAAACAAAGTTACTTGTGGCATGCTTAATCCAATAGATCATCTCGCCAAATCCAAGATTTTACAAAATGAAATAATCCACTTTTTCCTTAGGGCTGTTTTCCTAAGTATTTCAGCACTGCATTAGCTCATTCACAAAGAAGTTTTACTGCAGGACATGGTTGTGCACACCTGTAATCCCAGCACTGAAGAGACTGAGGCAGGAGGAGCTCAAGTTCCAGGCCAGCCTGGGCTACAGAGTGAGACCCTGCTTCAAAACAAAACCAAAAAACCCAAAAAAACCCCACCTTTTCTTTTGGTAGAAAATTCAGTTTTTTAAAACCTAATGCAACTCCCAAAAAAGCATTTTAAAAAGGAAAAGGCTCAACAATCCCTGATCCTAAATTGAACTCCAGAAAGAATTGTACTGTGGAGCTTCTGTAAAAAGAGCTCCCCTGTCCTCCCCCCGAAACCCCTCTGCACCCTGGGTCTGTTCTGGTTGTTAGGAAACTGCAGTCCCCCTCCCTGGAAGGTTCCTATTCAGGTGGCTGAGGCAGTTGGATCTCTTGAACCCAGGAGTTGTGGGCCAGTCTGGGCACCATAGAAAGATCCTGTTTTTTTTTAAAAAAAGAAGGAAACTGAGTTTATATTTTCATACCACTTGAATGTAGGTGGCAAAACTAATTGCCCAAAATTAAATTAGAAGTCATCTTTACATTAAATATTTCTCATGGTATCTTATAGATTTTAGCCGTGTGTGTTGTGGACTTTTCCTGGATTGTTTTGTTTTTGCAGTGATACTGGGCATCAAACCCAGGTCAGGGCCTCATGCATGCTGTGTAAGTGCTATAATACTGAGCTATATCCCCAGTCCTAAAATAATAATTATTTATGGTGCAGTTGAATGTTTTGTTGTTGTTGTTGTTATTGTTTTTTTGTGAGGAGGATGCTAGGGAGTGAACTCAGGGCCTCTGTCTTGGTAATTGCATAATCTACAACTGAGATACACCTCATTTTTTCACTTGGTTCCTGGAATTTTCTTGAGTCTTTCTGAGGGGCTGGTCTTTTCTGGGTTTTTTCCCCCCTTGGTACTAAGGATTGAACCCAGGACTTTCAGAATAAGCTACATTTCCAGTCCTTTTTATTTTTTATTTTGGGACAGGGTGTCACTAAGTCACTAAGTTGACCAGGCTGGGATTGAATTTGTGATCCTCCTGCCTCATCTTCCCAGAGTGTTGGGATTACCATGCCCAACTGGCATGGCAATTTTTATTTAAGCATTTAAGAGCTTGCACATGGGGGAAGATCATGGGTTTTTTGGATTGTCTAGAAAAGGAACCAAACTGAAGTGGGAGAGAGACTTAAAATCCAGGTTTGGGGGTTGGAATCTTAAAGAATTTGTAACAAAAAAGAAACCTTCAGCATGTGCGTAAGGGTGGGGAAACTAAGCATATAATTAAATTAATTTCCTTGGTAGAAGAAAATAAAGAATTCCCTTTCTTGGAGTCATCTGACTCTGAGCTGAAAATGTGAAGTTTTTTAATTGATAAATATTGTTTGCATTTGTTCATCCTCTTTGAGGACAAAAATTAAGACTCATAATGTTCTTTTCCAAGTGTTATTTTTTAATCTGTTGTAATTCAGGTTTACAAAATTTCTCATTGTTTTACTTGACTAATAAAACTTAGTTCATTGGTTTAGAGTTAAATATAGGAAGAAGTTTGGGACATAAAAAATCAAATTAAGGAAGCTCCACTTTTTTCGTAAAATTGATACTGGAAATTGACTATTTTTCAAAAAAAATAATGAAATTTAGCATGTGTACATAGCAAAAAAGAGTTTTCTAAGCAAGAAAGAGTCAACGCTGTCATCCCTAAAGACAGATCTGAAAGACCAGCAGTGGCCGTCATAGTGAATCTAAAATGAAAATGGTTTTCATATCAGCTCTGCTTATAAGCCAGAGAAACACTTTATCAATATTTACAAATTTTAACCCTCAGAATAATCTTGGAAAATAGGGATGTTGTAATTTCCATTCTTTGGGTGGGGAAATTAAAAATCAGATTTTAAACATGCTCGCAGTAGACTCATTGAAGCAAGGTTTGGAACTCCTGAGATCTTATTTTATTTCCCTATTTTTACAAAGATTACACATCCATATTAATTTGCTTACTTGCTACTAATTAAATCCTTGAGGGGTATATCATCACACGGATTCTCAGTCCATATAGCTCTAAATGTTAGAGCCTTCCACTGGTTAGCTACAGAAGGCTTGAAAAAGCATAGACCCTGTGAACTTGACTTAGGATCATCTCACTCACCTTTAGCTATGTGAGAGCCTGGACTGGATCTAACTGAATTATGAAGAGAGGTATGTTTTTCATATGGCTCCAAACATGGCTGGTGCTCCTTTTCTTTTTCTGGAGTTTTAAAGATGCATTTTTCTACAGTTGGATTCATTTGTTAATTTATGTATTTCTGATCATCTGTTAGGTGCCAGGTGCTGTGCAAAAGGAACTTTTAAGAGTCACCAATGCCATTAATAATATGACGGATTACTAAGGCTCAGTGAAGTAATAAAAGGGAAGGATCTGATTGGAAAATGTTAAAGTCCAGTTAAAGTTCCTATTTGTTAATCACAGTTAAATATACATAAATACCAGTATAGCATCTTTTATTTTCTAGTAGCCTTTATTTTCCATTTCTCTCTGTTACTGGGTATGGTCTAGCCAGTCCATAACCCCATCCAGACACTTGGAGAATTTATGTTTTTCACCTCTAAAATATGAAGAAAAAGTAATAAAAGGCAAGAAGAACTACTTTCTAATTTTACACTTACATTATTAAAAATTCCCAGCTAAATATACACTGCTTTGTGACAAAGGAGGAAACCCATTGAATTTACTTAATTTTTAAAAAGCATTAGTAGTAAGGGACTGCAAATTCTAGGACAGGTCTGTGATGACTGGCAGGCTCTGATGAGGCTTCTTTGAGGATGAAACAAGGTCTGTCAGGTCCTGACTCGCTGCGAGGTGCACAGTGGACAGAGGGAGCTCTGCCCACTTTCTTGCTCATCGGGCTCAGGTCTCTTTGAAGAGCGGCTAAGGTTTAAGGCCTGAGGTTACTTGGGGACATGACCACAATCCTTTTGGCCGTGCCACTTTGGCATATAAAATAACTCCAGTGAATGATGGCAAAAATAATTCATTTGAAAATATAAATTATCCTTGATACTCAACTCTTGTGCCTAATAACCTACTTGCATAACACATCTATTATCCCATTTATTTTAGTGGTTACTTTGAATTTTTCATTAAAGAAGTTCTTTCCAGGTTAAAAAATAAACTTTTTAAAAGATTGTTTTCTGTAGAGGAGATATAAATATACCATTGACATATTAACATTCAACTTTGTTTCAGGGTAAGTAAGCAATAATAGTAGTGCTGTTGAAACCATTGGTAAAACTATTTAGACACTTAGACTGTGATGCTGAAGTCACATTGAGTTATGTTAAGTGGAGTAAATGGTAAGCAAAATTTCCCAAATATGGTCTTTTTGAACTAAATAATCATCAGTAATTATTTGGCAGAGATAGTCAGATAATGTAAATGAATTTGAATTTGTCTAACTACATAATTTTATATATTGGATGAATAAAAAGCCTCCTTTGAATCTGTAAGGTGTTTTCCAGATCTCTTCTCAGGATTTGAGAATAAAGTTGTTGAATCATCTCTGAAAATAAACACTGATTGAACTGTAAAATGAATGAAATCTTAAGTGTGTGCATATTGCCACCAAGTGGCAGAGAATGCATTGCTTATCATAGTTGCTTAGAGCTATGGGGAAACATGAAAAACTAAGGGCAACATAGTTTTGTAGGAATCTTTTTTTTTTGGTACCAGGGATCGAACTTGGGACCTTGCACTTGTGAGGCAGGTGCCGGAACCACTGAGCTAAATTCCCGGCCCCATAGGAATCTTTTTATAGCAGTGAATAAACTGTAAACAACTTCTTTACTAATCAGTTTTTTTTTACTGCTTAGTAAATAATGACCAACTATTCAGATTTTTAAAAATCAGTTTCACATACCTTTGTAGAGATATTTTAGTTTTTCTTCCTTAATTATGTGACCTTTTATTCTCTCTCAGATTCCCTTTAATATTCTTTGGCTTGTTCCCTTTTTTGTATATATGCTTATCTTTTTTTGACTATATTGCTGTGGAAGTCTATGGAAATGAAAATTTGATTAATTCACTGCTTTTTAGGGAATAGCAAGATGGAATTTGCTTAAACCAATTTAAGATGGAAAACTTTCATCAGCACCTTAAAGAAATAATCTCAATCTTTACATTCTGTTTGATTTACTGTTTTCCTGTATAAGAGCTTTCTTTGAGTAACTATGGTATTGATATTAAACAAGGCTAGCTCATAGGTTGTTGAAAAGTCTTCATTTAAAAATATTTATTACATAATTAATTGAAAGCCCTTTCCAGATAAAACCTTGATCAGTGTTTTGAATACAGGATTTTTTTAAGCTACTCGTTTAATTTTATACCCTATTAGTTTCACAAATTTTGGCACAGTACTGCACTAAAGCCAGCACTAATTCTTTTGTTGTTTCAGTTCTCTTTATATTTTCAGATGTGAAATAAAATTACATTTTGAGATAACTGATTGAAATTTGACTACTCCATTTGTATACTGTATAATACTAAAGCACAACTCTTCGAATTTACGGCTAGTATGGTAATTTACTAAAGCGTCTTAATGTCAGTGTTCAAGAAAATATTAAGACACAAGTTTCCAAAATTGATGCCTTCCTAGCCTCCTGAGAGTGTGCCAGCCTAGGTATTTGAACCTGTGCCAGGGTAAGCATTGAGTGGTTCCCAGCATTAGAAAGCGGAAAGATCCATGATGTAGACTTAACCTGAACCAACTCCAAAAATAGCCCAGTTAATCAGGCACCCTCAGACTTGAGTGAACTGGAACTGGTCCCACCACCCTGGCTGTGACCTTTGTATCCATGACCCTGGTGCGAGTATGCAGCATGAAAACTGCTGTTCTTTTCTGTTGGTTTAGGTAAATAGGAGAAGACTACAGAGGCTTCCTTCCTTGTTCTGTTTGATCTCTGGGGCCCACTTGGTTTATTTACCTTACTCCATCTCCTATTGATCTCCCTCCTCCTGCCTACCTGCCACTCTGGTGTATTTCTCTACTTTTGGTTATAGTTCCTTACTCAGAGCCTTTGCACTTGCTCTTTCCTCTGTCAAAACACTCTGATCCCAGATGGCCATGTGACTTTAGATTGTGACTTAAAGTCACCTCTTTAAGGATGCGGTCCCTAGCCATTTCCAGGCAGTTCATATTTCAAGAACTCTGTGCCTCCCTTATTTTTCTTCTCTCAGTGCTTATTATCACCTAATAAAGTATGCACATTATTTCACTCATTTGTCTTTTTTGTTGTTGTATCTTTCCTATTAGGATAAAAATTCCATGAACAGTTTTATCTGTTTTTGTTTGTTTGTTTAATTTTACTCTTATCTTCCCAGAGTCTGGTACACACTTGAGAAGTAATAAGTAATTTGGAGAACTTATCAATATTAAGTAAGCTGAACTCACTTCTCATAAGTTAGATGTAAATTACTTAAGAAGTAGTCAGGTTAGCATTGAAGAAAAGTGCCATTGTATAGTTGGAGTCAGTTCTGTTGATATTTTAGTAGCCACTAAGGGCGAAGCCAAGCAAGAAGCCCCCACCTCTTAACCACCAGGAAAGCCCGAGAGCTAAGACCAGCCTGCATGTGCCCGCATATGCACGAATACACAGGTGTTTACATGTACATCAGTGGTTTTTCTTTTGCTCTGCACACTGTGGGGCAGAGTATTAACAAGTATAAATTAGTTGTCATGTTTTAAAATCAACTTCACATGACATTTTATTTCAGAAGTGTGTCAAACAGTTGGGGGATGTGACCACTACTAGGCCCATATATCCATGGTTCATCAGTGTGAGTGGGTGTTTATTCATTCACACATCAGGCCACTCCCTGTGTTGTCTTATAGTTAGAGGAATGCACCAGGGGCTCGTTATGATTGCACTTAAACCCTTATTTTTCTTAGGGTTGGATTAACAGAAGAAGCTTTTTTCCTTACTCATAACTGTAAAAAATAGGGATTATCGTGAGTGCTGTTTGTTTTAAGAAAGAAAGGAAGGAACCTATATCTTCAGGTAATTAAAGGGTATTCTTGCTTGTTTATCATATTACTTACCTGTAGGAATTTTGAGTTTTCAGGCCCCATGGAGAGAGACATGACATGAACATCAGGTATAATTGAGTGGAAGAGAATTATACCCTACATAGGGAGTAGATTTATGGTCTGAACTATGAAAAGTATGGAGCTTGAGCTAGGCTTCGAAATCTTTTTTTTTTAATTGCTAGGGAGAAGATTATAAGGAAATCATTCTAGGTGGGAAGAATTTGTGAGGGCGTTTTTTTGGGGGCACTAACAAAACAAACCTGTTGGTCTGAGTTGAAAGAATATAGTGTGTTGTTCTTTTAGCAAAATATTTCTCAGTCATTTACAGTGCACCAGGTGTTGAGAAAAGATACACAAAACATAGCATGCCCTTGCCGAGTTCATACTCCAGTGATCCATTTTGAGGCATTCCTCACATGCTATATTTATTCCACATTAGTTACCAAATAAAGTTAAATGTAATACCCATAAGAATAAGAGAATTAATAACTTACTTTGAATAGACAGTCTGTAATGGTATATCATGTTTTGTACATTTTGCTTCTGAACTAGTGCAGACCTTTCAGCTATATGAAAATAGAGAAGTTCTCTATTCTAAACATATATAGTCTTTTTTTTTCTTTATATATCTTTTTATTGGTACATTTTAGGTATACAATATAATGACATTCATCATTGGAAATTTGCACCTTTACATACTCTCTTGGTTCTTATATTTTCCCCCTTCCCCTGCCCTCCCTTCAACCCCTCCATCCCTCCCTATTTACAGAGACTTTGTTTGCTTTTTTTCATTTTCTCATATTCCATTCCCTTCTTTCCTTTCCCCTACCCCTCCCACTTCCCCTTCCCCTTTGCCCCTTTTCTTCCTATTTCACAAAACATATATAGTCTTAACTGAATGTGTAACTCCTCCAATATTTTACCTGAAGAGATGTGGAAGTTGATTTCTATCCTAGGCACATGATTATTTTCATTATAGAAGGCTTCACCAGAATTTTTCATTTGGAGCCAATTCAGTGCACATTTATGTATGATTTTGTTTTCATATGGTCAAGAAAAGGAAATGTCTTGAATCTAATTACTTGTGTTTTGGGGGTCTTTTTCCACATTATTCTTCAGGTTTTTTTGCCCTCCGCCTTGTGTTTATCTTATGGGCAGTGGATGGAAGAAAAAAAAAGAACAAATGGAACGCGATGGTTGTTCTGAGCAAGAGTCTCAACCATGTGCATTTATTGGAATAGGAAATAGTGACCAAGAAATGCAACAGCTGAACTTGGAAGGAAAGGTAAATCAAGACTCATGGTTCCTTGTAAAGGAGGCACTGTGGTACCAGAATGTAGTTTCCATATTCATTTTGGTGGGTAAAAAACAAAGGGTATTAGTAAGAATTTCTTGACTATATAAACCAGAACCAGAAACATTCCTCTCAAACAGCTGTGGTCCAGTCATGATTCATGAAGCTCATGCCGTCGACATCTAAAGGTGGCATGCAGCAAGCTTCTGCAGCTTGCTAGTGATTTTCGCAAGCTGTAAATCAGATTTCAGTTGGAGGCTAATACATTTAGTACTAGTCAGTTATCTCCTGTCTGACAGGAAAGTAATACTAAAATATCAGTGAAAATACATCATTCAATTATGTTTTGCTGTGCTGTTTTTTGTCTTCATCTCAGAAGCAGTGGTAATCGACAAATTCTTAAAGTTTGTGTGGGTTATAAAGGTCATAATTTACTTAACAGTATGGACCAGAACTATGCTATAGACAAGAATAACCACAATTAGCTCTGCTGAAACTTTTAAGGGAGATTTTCTTAAATTATTTTGCTAGGGCAAGAATCTTACCAACTGTTTGACTAATTGTATTTTGTGAATTTAGACAGCAGTAACAGTTAACCTTTATTGAAAATTCTCATTTAGAATTTATCTAGAAAATGGTTCTAATCTCAATGACTACATGAAGGTCTTCTATTAATAATAGTTAATAAAATGCTGTTAATATCCATATTCAGTAAATCTTTGTTGAATATCATAGTTGTTGTATTGTATTTGGCACTAGGGATAGGTGTTGGAGGGTTGTGTTAAGGTGATGAGCTAAGGAATTTGTGCTCCCTCTTAGTCATTTATGGTAAATACTGAGCCTTAGTATCTGCCTCATTCAGATGTTAAGTTTGGCATAAAGATTTTTTATCTTGAAAAGAAGTGGAGCAGCAAATCCATATAAAGGTCTAAGTTACAATCCATGAGCTAAAGTAAAGAATAGTGTATATCTAGGTGAAGGACTAACCTAATAGATCTTGGCATGTCTCCTATTTTCCTGCTATGTAGAACGTCCCTGAGCTACATGATGGATGGCAGGCTGCACACCCACACGTTCAGTACCTTGAATGAGTAGAACAGATATGTAATGAGTTCTAGCTGCTGGTGTATATGACTGTTCTAGTTAACTTCATTGCTTTCTTGAACCTGTTCTGGCTTCCAATAATTTTACCTTCCAGGGATGTAAACCAAATAAACCAACCAATAGCACCATTGGTGATGACGCAGTAGCACTTCATTCAAATTCTGTGCCCTCAGGGATTGTCTCATCCTGGAGATCCTCTTGCTTTCCTCATTGTATCTTTTTTGTTTTAGAGGGGGGCTACTGGGGACCGAACTCAGGACCTTGCGCTTGTGAGGCAGGCAGTGGAACCACTGAGCTAAATCCCTGGCCTCTCCTCATTGTATCTTTCTGAATCTTCTACCATAATACCCTTTCCTCAAGGCTAGAAATTGGCAGAAGAGAGAATAAATAAAAGGTTGAACGTTTGTTATTTAAAATACTACCTACTAATAGGGTAGTATCTGTAAGCCAGACTTATATGTTAATATTTAATTTTAATAATAAGTGCTGTTAGAATGCTCCTATGTAAAATAAGACTGGCTGAGCATCAGCAGACGGTATTCCAGGCAGAAAGAACAACATACTCATGTGTTGGGAGCATAAAGATTTAAGGACATAGCGTAGCCTTGGTAGCAAAAGTGGCAGTTTGGTCTTGTCTACCACCTTAACCTTTTTGATTGAGTGGTACAGTTGGTCATTATTAAAATATAAGGGATATTTATTTTGCATTATTTGGTATTCAACTAATTGTAAATATTATAAACATTCTAGTATATATTAATTTATAGTATGACATTTGACTCAATGTTGGTTCTGAGATTTTATTTAATATATTCAATTTGATAAAAAATTTTTCCTGAGTTTTATGTTTATATGGTTGCAGCTAGATAAGCTGTGTAACAAGGATTATTTCTCTAATTTGCACACTTCTGTTTTGCTTGTTTTTCACAATTGTGTACTCTTGTTAGCATTTTCTTTTTCAAATATTTTTCTACTTCAAATATTTCTATGGTATTACTTTTGCAGCATTTAGATACAGCTTTCTTCATTTCAGGGAAATGTTTTTATTTTCTGAAGATCTTCAAATAAGTGTTCTTTGGCTGGGGCGGGTGAAGTGAGACAGGTCTTACTATGTATGCTCAGGCTGGCCTTGAACTCTCAGTGTAGCACAGTCTGGCCTTACATTTGTAGCACTTCCCCTGCCTCAGCCTCCCAAGTGCTAGGATTATAGGCATACACCATCACAACTGGATAAAGAATTGGTTTAAAGTTAAACAAGGTTCATTCCTAGAGAGACTATCTAATGTAATTTTCTGTTCTAGAATCCCATTAGATCATTTAACATATTAATGTGGCAAGGGAGTTATAATTTAGTTTTTATTCACTTACTCTCTTAGAACCTAATATTTTCTATGAGAATGACTTTCTTTTTTTCTTCTGGAATCTGAATAATTTGTGGTCAGTGGCCTTATAGTTTATTTTTTTAATAGTTCCATTAAAGTTATCCCAGGTCTGATATTTGTGGATTTACTAACTGTAGTTAGGGATATATGTTTTGATTTTTCAAGGAGATATACATATATGTGTTTTTTTGCAACAAAATAAAGTCTTATATGGTTAGCTTCTCTGGTTTTTTTCCCCTTACCTGTTTGTTGATCTATTTTATTGATGCTATATTTCAGTATTTTCTCTTTTTTGATACAGATCATATCCATTAATGTTAACATTCACAATTAAATGACCTTAACCTTTTTAGGCTTTCGCATTTGAATGCAGTTCCCTTCATTTAGATAAATGGTGTTATTTTTGCTTCCTGTGACTGTCTACAACATCGATTCCCTTTTTCATAGACCTCATCTTATCTTGCAAAACAGAACAATTCTATTGTTCAGGCTTAATTTGACTTTCAGTGCTGTCATTTTTAAGAAGTGTGGTTGCCGGGGATGTAGCTTAGCAGCATAGTGCCTGCCTGCCAAGTGCAAGGTCCTGAGTTTGATCCCCAGTACCAAAAAAAAGTAGTGTGGTCAACTCACAGGGAGTCTCAGGTAGAAGGAGCCATGTGACTGCATTTTACTAATTATTAGCTTTATCTTATTTTGTCTTTTATAGAGCCAAAAGCCTCATCAAAACTTATACTAAACTTTTGAATGTATGAAAACTTGCGTGTAGAATATTCAAGGTGACACTTAAGCTTCTTATATAACTTTGCTATTGAGAAATTAAAAAACTATTACAATATGTTTTGTCTCTTCCTAACACTGCCTGTTAATGAAATTTTAAAAACAAAAACTCAGGAGCTACTTCCTAAATGAATGGGCATTTGCTTTTTAAAAGAAACATACAACGGAAGTAAGTAGTTGAAGATACTTGTTTAACCTAATTTTTGAGTTAAAATATTTTGGATACTTAGCCCTGTATTTGAACATCATTTATCATATCTGGAAAAAGAAGTCAAAATTTAGGTCCCTCCCTAATTCAGAGAGCTCAAGGGGAATAGTAAGGTTTTTAGAATTTGTGATATATAATTGAAATAGTGGCATTATGAAGTGGCCTTGCTGTTTGGCAAGTACTATAACTTAAAGCTACATCCTCAGCCCTTTTTTATTTTTAATTTTGAAACAGTTTTGCTAAGTTGCCCAGACTGGCCCTGAGCTCATAATCCTGCTTCAGCCTCCAAGGGTGCTGGGAGGAAAAAGACTTTTTTGGTTTTGCTTTATTTTGGTGTTTTGCTTTGGTTTGGTTTGGTTTGTTTGTTTGGGTTTTTTTGGGGGTACAGGGGATTGAACTCAGGACCTTGCTCTTGCAAGGCGGGCACGGTGCCACTGAACTAAATCATCCAGCCCTGCTTTTTGTTTTTTGAGACAGGGTCTCTCTATATAGTTCAGGCTGACCTTAAACTCACTAGGTAACCCGGACTGGCCTTACACTCATGGCAGTCCTCCTGCCTCAGCCTCCTGAGTGCTGGGGTTACAGGTGTGTACCACCATGCCCAGTGAAAAAAATTTTTAACATGGCCTTTTTAATAGAGTAAATGGAGCAGATAGTCTTCTGTTTACTTGTTTTTAAACTGTTTCGTTTACAACTGAAACTCAGGAATTTCAAAATTAGCATCCTTGCCCATGAACTCCTTGCCGACACCAGAAAAACATCTCACCCTTGTGTTCTTGATTGTTCTGCTGTACTTTGTCCAAAGAGCCTTCATAAGGCAGCTGCGGTCCAGATTCATGTAAAAAGTTACCTACAACTTTTCCAGGGAAGAACAAGCCTTGGATCACATAGAGTGCTCCTGGGACACTGCTTATCTTCCAGATCGCTTTTTCAGGTTGCCTTTGGCAGACTCTCCTGAGCAGTAAGGGCCACATGCTTCTCTCCACTTCATGTATGAGCTGGACTTGGATTTTCTAGAATGTTTTCCATTGAGGAACTGGAACAAAGATAGTGATAGCCTTCCAACTACCACCAGCTTTAAGCTTCCTTCCCACAGTGGGTTCTGCTCCATCCTGCAGGGCCGAGTTCATCTCCAGCTCCAGAAGTGCCTGGGAGGTGCTTGCCTCAGCTCAGCCTGCTCTGGTTGGGCGTCAGCTCTGAGCCTTGTCCTCATTGAGTGCCAGTGTAGGAAGAGCCTTGCTCTGTGAGAGCTTGTCACGTCCCCCACAGTGCTGCTGGTGTCACGTACACTGGATGAGGAAGATTGTTCACTTTCTCTGCAGAGATCAGTTTCACTAATTTTTATGTTTGGTTTTATGAGCTATCCATTAGGATTATTTTCATAAGCTTGATAAACCTAGTTATAGTGATTCTGAGTTGTAGGCAATATTTTGATGCTATTAAACTTTCATTGTCTTTCACAGAACTATTGCACAGCCAAGACATTATACATATCTGATTCAGACAAGAGAAAACACTTCATGTTGTCTGTAAAAATGTTCTATGGCAACAGTGATGACATTGGTGTGTTCCTCAGCAAACGGATAAAAGTCATCTCCAAACCTTCCAAAAAGAAGCAGTCATTGAAAAATGCTGACTGTACGTATTGAGTTTCCATATTTGTCCCAAACTCCCACTATGAATTAATGACAAACTTTTTCAAGTTGAAAAATTGCTTTTTCATTAGTAAATTCATTCTTCACTAATGTTTTGTGGCCCTTTTTGCTGTCTTCTTCATGCTGTTGTTGTAATTGAAAAATGGGTAGTACCTGGTTTCTTCTTCATGCTGTTGTTGTAATTGAAAAATGGGTAGTACCTGGTTTTTTTTTTCTTTTGTACTTGAATATCCAATATAGCTTTTATTTTATTTTATTTTTTTCCTTAAATTCTTTTATTGGTACATTTTAGGTATATAATACATTTACATTTCTCACTGGGAACTTGTACCTTTACATGGTGTATGTTGGTTCTTACTTTTTCCCCATTCCCAGCTCTTGATTCACCTCCTCCACCCTTCCCTATTTACAAAGACTTTGTTTCCATTTCTCATCATTTTTCCTTTGCTTCTTTCCTTTCCCCTACCCCTCCCAATTTCCCTACCCCTCTAGACCTTTTCTTCCTATTTTGCATTATCAATTATTCATTTTAATCATTGGTACATTTTAGGTATACAATATAATGACATTCATCATTGGAAATTTGCACCTTTACATAATCTCTCT